AAATAGGTAGAAATAATACATATGTTCAGAGAAAAAAATAAAATAAACAGTAAGAAGTCACAGTTGATGTTTACATATTGTCGTTTTACTAATAGTTGTTCAAGGTACAAAAATGGAACATGTAAAGTGTAACAGCGAGACTGCAAACAGTTCTGTTCAACTGTCCAACAAAACTTAGTAACATGGTTGTCAATCTTATACACTTAAACATACATCCAAGAACTCTTTTAATATATGCACCCGTGCCATTCCTTTCCAAGAGATCCTGTGACCTTTACATATGCCCCTGTTATTATTTTTGACAGTCTGAGGCAGCACTAAAGAAAGAGTAGAGCTAGGTGTGGTGGCTCACGCCTGTAATCCCAGCACTCATGAGGCTGAGGCAGGAGGATCACTGTGATTTTGAGACCAGCCTAGGCTGCACAGTGAGCTGAAGGCAAGCCCGAATGGCACAGTGAGACCCTGTCTCAAAAAGACAAAAAAAAAAAAAAAAAAAAAAAAGAGTAGAAAGGCCTTCAATGCAGGTACAGGAGAGCTGCAAAAGGGTGCAGGAGCTCTCAGTGAGAACAAGAAGTGAAGCTACTTTTATCAGGTCTGGCTGGGGGAGGAGTTCGGAAGGTGGGCAAAATGACAAATAGCTGACTTAAAGGAGCATTTGCCTGAGCAAAACAGGAAATAGATTTACTGGGGGCTGGGGGTGGAATGCTTGTGTGGTTGTAGAGTCTTGGGATTGGAGAGGGCTGAGCACACATGCAAAAAGGAGCTCCTTCTCTGGAAGGAGAAGGAGAGCCTAGAAGTTACTTTTGGAGACATAAGTTGTTTCTCTGGGTCCCATACTAAATTGGGCAGGGGTCATGTTACAGATAGCTAAGCCCCAGGCTAGCAGAATCTATCAGCTATGTGACTGGCTTCCCTATTGGATCAATATTAACTAAGTGGTTATACTGTAATCTTCAGTTGGTTGTGATATAGGAGAAAATATAATTCCCAACCTGCTAGATGTCAGTTATATTGAGTTTGTGTATCCTGAAATCAAAGATTGAATTCCAAAGCACAAAGGAAGTTAAGAGTAGGAAAGTTTTATTGGGAAATAAGACAAGCTCCTGAGAGCCGGGGGCTCCTGGAAGTGGGCTGTCATGGAGGCCACTTCTCTGAGGGTGTTTCATAGAGCAGAATAATGAGGTGGATATTGATAAAGGGAAATGAAACTCCTAACCTACAATATGTCCAGTGTGAGTTTGTATTCTCTTTTTTTTTTTTTTTTTTTTTTTGTCTTTTTCGTTTTTACTGGTACCAGGGATCAAACTCACGACTGCCTGCTTGCAAGGCAGGCACTTATGCCGCTGAGCTAAATCCCCAGCCCCCGAGTTTGTATTCTCTAAAATCGAAGAATGAATTTTAGGAACAACAGAGGTTAAGAGTGGAATACAGTTATTGCGGGAAAGGAAGCTTTTGTCTCAGAGACAGAAGGGGACCCCAGCAGGTTGCCAAAGACTCTGTGGGTTTTTTTTTTTTTTTCTTTTTTTTTTTTTTGTCTTTTTGAGACAGGGTCTCACTATGCAGTTCAGGCTGGCCTTGAACTCACTTTGTAGCCCAGGCTGGTCTTGAACTCACAACGATCCTCCTGCCTCCACCTCCTGAGTGCTGGGATTACAGGTGTGAGCCACCATGCCCAGTTAGGACTCTGTCTTTTTTAGGGACTTTTATAGAGTAAAGTCATGGAGTGAGACAGGTTTAAGGTGGGAACAAATGGGAACCCACAAGGTGGATATAAGGCGGGACAGAACTGTGGTCAGCCAACAAGATTAACTGATCAGGTAAAATTGATTAAATTAGGAGCACATGGGGAGCAAGTCACATAGTAAGCAGGCATGCTTAGAACCAGAGACCTTTCCTGTGGGAGGCAGGGTGGGGCGCTGACTCCTGACTTCCTCAGGTGATAGAGAACTATTTGGACTGTTGGTCCCTAGGATATGATTGTATTTGCTTTGCCTTTTGTCTTGAGATCTGGCCCACAGCAAGAGGCGTTCGTCTCTTCAAAGGCTGCAAGGTATCTGAACTTTTGCTCTGGCTTGAGGACTCAGCCCTGTCTGATTGCCTGTAATATTTCTAACTAACTCAGCTGCCTGTAACAGTATGATATGGGTCAAACTATAGTCAACCAACAAGATTACAAGTATAGACACTTAGCTAATATTGATCCAACAGAGAAGCAGGTCATGTAGCGAGGGTCCATGGGAAGAACAAAGGCACTTTTGGGAAGGGATGGGTCGGATGCTCTGGTTATCCACCTGGATGACTGCTATCTATTTGGACTTTTAGTAGACCAGGTGAAAACCGTTATAGTTTAATTCCAAGTTATGGCTTAACCCTTAATGGAGGCAGTTAGGCCTGGTCATTGCATCTTTATCTTGAGGCTTGGTCTTCAGATTTGCCTCCAGTGATAATTTGATGTTTAGTTTTTCTGGTGACTTCCTTGACAGCACAATCCCTTTCTGACTGTGTATTAATGTCTATCTAATTTAACTGTCTATAATAATTGTAGACAGTTATAATAATAATAATAATGATTTGACCTACATTGTACTCACACTGTGATTTTTTAATTATTTTTTATTTTTTTGTCTTTTTGAGACAGAGCCTCTCTACACAGTTCAGACTGACCTTTAACTCATTTTATAGCCTGGGGTGGTCTTGAATTTGAACTCCTCCTGCCTCAGCCCACATTGATTTTACTGTATAAATTACCTGTGACAAAGAACCTAGGTGACAACTTACTTGGGACCTCACCTGAAAACCCAGAGCTATTCTCTTTCACTTTATTTCTAGTAAAACTCACAACTTCTTCCCTTGATTTGAGACTTCATTCCTTGATGTGAAACTATGAACTCAACATATTTGATGTCTAAAAAGTTAGGAGCTATATTTCTTTCTTACATGGTGGAGGGGCAACAGTTCATGGTGGCAGAAGACAGCAAAAACAATAAGGATGAAAAGGAGAAACAAGCCTCTTTCTGTCCCTTACACTGTGTATAGTCTACTGGGATTAGAGTGGTGCCAGTCCAGTGAGTGGACTAATCCTGCAATCATCCACCCTGATATTTTTTTCCTTTAGTCTTTTTGAGACAGAGTCTTACTATAGTTTGGGCACATTTAAACTCACTTTGTGGCCCAGGCTGACCTTGAACTTGCAGCAGTCTTTCTGCCTCAGCCTGTACCACTACACCCCCAGATGTAAGCACTCTTTTCCTCAGTATTAAACCATGTAGCAATCACATGTATCAATCACACACTCTAGATTCAGCCACGTCTGAAAAAAGTCCTATGATAGCATGAGACTTTTGGGTGGAGGGGACATCTAGATACAAACCATAACAGAGGCCAAGCAGGAGGATCAAAAGCTTAAATCCAGCCTGAGAAATTTACAATTTATTGAGATCCTGTTTTAAAATAAAAAATAAAAAGGTTAGGGGTTATAACTCAGTGGGAAGGTCTTAAAGGCCCTGCGTTCAATCCCTGGGGTGGGGTTAGTGGGGAATGAAGAGGGGAAGACCAAGACAATGATCCAATTTATCATCATCAGCTGTTTACCAAGAAGAGGGAAGTCGTGAGACAGAGGTCTTGGGACCAGGCAGGGATGACCTGGGTGAAGCTGGCCTTCAGGAGGAGTATATGGAGGATCTAGACTTGCATCCCCAGATTCCTGGTGCAGAGACTGGGTGTCCCTTGTGGATGTACAGGTCTGTAGGAGCAGTGTGTGAACACCAGCTCTTGCCCTCCAACTCTGGGGGTGCTGAGAGATGGGCCATTGTGCAAGGTCCAGGCTCGAGTTCATTCCCAACTCTGCTCCCAACTGTCTCATCTTGCGGGGTTACGCCACATTCCATGTGCCTAAACCCAGCCAACAGATCTTTCAGTAGAAAGAAAAACTTTGTTTCTGGACACTCAGGTTCACATGTTCAGGTTTTTGCTTGCCGCTGATCAAAAGAGGCTATATATTTTGGTAAAAAGGAAAAATTCTGCCTAAATCTAACTCTAAGGAGATGGAGGGGCCTATTTGCCTCAAATCACACCTCACGATGTACCGAAGGGGTGGGGGGTAAGGGCTTTTTACAGTAAGGAATAAAGTAGAACAAATCTCCACAGTTGCTTTTCCACTTCCAGACATTTTCTTTCCTGTAGAAAGAAAACCGAGCTCCAGGTCTTTGGGTGTCAGCACCTACACATTCTGCCATTTTTGAGGGGGTGTCAGCACCTGCATATGCTGTCACTTTTGAGTGGGTGAGGAGAGGGTGCTCAGCAGGAGCAATTTTGCCAATCTCTATAAGAAAACAAACCTAACAGTAAAGTTCCATTTTAAGGCGGGCCTGTGTCATGTGCCTGTAATCTCAGCACTCGGGAGGCTGAGGCAGGTAGAGTGCTGAGAGTTCGAGGCCAGTTTGGGCTACAAAGTGAGCTCAAGGCCAGCTTTAACTGCATAAAGAGCCCCTGTCTCAGTAAGACCAAATAAATAAATAAACTTCCATTTTACAATGCCAATTACAGGCTGACTTGTATTCTTAACTTCAAGGTATTGTGTGCAGGGGTCACAGAGCCGCCTGTGGCCTTACCTACGTGCCCTAGGGGGCAGATTTGTTGCTCAAGGCCCAAGGACTGCCAGGCCTCTCTTCTTTTTGCTTTGACTGCCCAGGCCTGTACTGCCTGCCCTCTCCGCTAGGTTAGTTTCTGATTTTCCAGGTTAGCCAGGCGCCTGGAATCCGGGCGAGGTCTGCGCAACGCGGACTTCGGGTACCAAGGGGCTTGGCTGCGTGCACAGCGGCTGTGAGCTCACGATGCCAGCTGAGAGCAAGGAGCCAGGACGTGCCAGCGTCGGCCGATCGATACACTCGGCAAGCAACGCGATTCGGAAAGCAGGCCCAGGGGTGGGCAAGGGCGGGGGGATGAGCTCAGACCGCAGAGACGCGCCGGGGGCGAGACCCTATTGGCAGGCCTGGTGCGGGAGGCGGGTCTTAATTGGCCGGGCGGCTGGTAGCGGCTGCTGGGCGCTGGCGATGGGGTTAAAAGCACGGCGCAGTGCTCTTGGCCTACGCGCTGGCCGGGAACGGTGAACCCACACACTGGACTTGCAGCCTCAGCCGCACGCCATGGACAGGCGCCTCTGTCTCTGCCGCGTGGCCGTGCTCCCGAGCGGCCTCTTGTTTCTTCTGCTGCTACTAATGCTGCTCGCGGACCCGGCGCTCCCTGCCCAACGTCACCCCCCAGTGGTGCTCGGTGAGGCGTGCGTCTTGTAGTGAGTCGGTCCTACGGGACTGGGAGCAGGGCAGGGTCGTCTTGTGTTCCGCATCTGTTTTAAGCCCGGAATGGAGGAGTGTGTCTATCTTGTCACCTGGGTCTGACCATCCACCTCCCACCATTCTGAACACGGGTGTGGCCAGCTGCCTACCACCTGACTCTTGTAAAACATGGGTGTGGAAGGATTACCGTCTGGTTGTGAACTTCGCCTTTTTTTCCCCTTTTGATCTAGGGCCTCATATGTATGTATACAGGCTGGTCTTGTACTCACTATGTATTCAATCTGACCTCAAACTTCCTGCCATCCTCCTGCCTCAGCCTTCAGAGTGCTGGGATTACAGGTGTGCCCCATTCAGCTCAGCTTCCACTCCACCTTTCTACATCAAGCCATGCCTTACTATGTGTCCATTTTTCAGCTGGTAAGACCGAGGCCATTCAACCCCACTCCGGACGGTTGATGGGGGGTGGGCAGGGTGGCGTCAGAGTTGGCTTCCACACTGACCAGGGCCTAACTGGGAGAGTATCATCCTGTACACTTCCAGGCCTATGTTTCCTTCCACGTTGTAGCGGGCATTACTGGAAGCAGCCTCTTTGGGAGAAAGCTGGCCACCAACCTCTTTCTGCCTCATCCTCAGCTTATCACATAGGTGACATTGGGCCTAGGATAGGAGACTTACTGAAAAAAGAATGGCTAAAGGCAGGGGAAACCATAAGCAGATATCAAAGAGTATGCATGTTTTTTTTTTTTTTCACCTCTTTCAAGCCTAATTAAACCAAGCTATGTTGGAGTTAAGTAATCTCTGCTCAATCCCTCCTTGGTCCTAGACCTGCCAACTGTACAGGAGTCACTGGGCTTCAGTGGCCCTTGCGGTGATGGGCCATGGAGAGACTTCCATCTGGGGAGTTGTGGGTGCCTCCTTCTTCCCATACCTTCCAATAGCGCTGGTGTGTTGGCAGTCAGCCACTCCTGATCAGAGGCACATACATGCTGAGTCTGCTGAAAAGTGACATCTCCCTTTTTTTTGGTTTTGTTTTTGTCTTTTTGAGGCAGAGTTTCACTGTGCAGTTTAGGGTGGCTTTAAATTCACTTTGTAGCCCAGGCTGGCCTTAAACTCCGCCACAATCCACCTGCCTCAGTCTCCCATATGCTGGGATAACAGGCATGCACTACCATGCCTGGCCCCCTGTTCTTTCTGTTGGGAATATTTAGATGGGGATGATGCAGACCACAGAAGGGTTGGGGTAGACAGCAGGCAAGGGGATCTGAGTAGGAGTTCTGGGCAAAGAATTGAATGATCAAGAGGGATTGTGGGCCCAGGTTCACCTTGGATATGTGCAGACTTGGCCTTTGTCCCCAAGCTTCCAGATTAAAACTAGTAACCCTCGGAGAAGAAGTCTGTGCTGGGGAAGCAGAGAATCCATTGAGCCTGTCTGGGTGAGTGGGTGTCAGCGAGGGTTTCCCCAGTGTGCTGAAACTACGGGCAGACAGACAGAGGGAGCTACATATTAGACAGGAGGTGAACAGTTTCAACTCCCTGGAATAGACTAGGGTGAGGAGTGAATTGTGCTGAGCTTATGATTAGTTGGGTCATCTGGACTTTACTCTGGAAGCTTCACAAGTTGTGCGGGGGCCTGAGAAGTTCTGAGAGTGAGGAGTGTGACACTGAGAAGGACATTGCACTGTCCTTTCGCTTGCATTGGTGCTAAATTCACTAATTAATTCATCCAGTCCTTGGTTATCCGAGGTTGCAGCAGAGGAGCCTGAGCAGTTGGAATCCTAACCTGCCAATCTTCTCTGGGAGAAAGGTTTCTTGATATGAACTTAGAGACCCCAGAGTGGGCAGTGGACAAGCTGCTCCTAGGTACACAGCAGGTTTCTCATCTTGAGGATCAAAATTCTTTAGGGGAATAGCTGGGGATGGTGGCACACACCTGTAATCCTAACTCTTGGGAGGCTAAGGCAGAAGGATCATTGCAAATTTGAGATCAGCCTGTGCTGCAAAGTGAGCTCAAGTCCAGCCTGAACTGCATAGCAAGAACCTGTCTCAAAAAGACAACGAAACAAAATTGTTTAGGGGGCTGGTCATGGTGGTACACAACTGTAATTCTAGCATTTTGGAGGCTGAATCAGGAAAGTCACTGTGAGTTTGAGGCCAGCCTGGGCTACATAGTAAATTCAAATGCAGCTTGAACTATTTAGTGGGACCCTGTCTCAAAAAACAAAACAAAACAAAAACAAAACCTTAGGTGTAGGTTCTGAGATGATGAAAGGCAAAAGCCATAGGTAACCCTGGGCAGAGCAAAGGGATTGTAGGCAAGCCATTCTTTTTTTTTTTTTTTTTTGTCTTTTTCCTTTTCATCAGTACTGGGGATCGAACTCACGACTGCCTGCTTGCAAGGCAGGCACTTAGCCGCTGAGTTAAATCCCCCGCCCCAGGCAACCTGTTCTTAAATCTCCCAGCCTTGGTCTCTGTTAAATGGGAGTAAAGTTGTATCCTTTGAGGATTAAATGAGTTAGACCCGTGGCTGGCTTTGTCTTAGCTCTAGATACAGAGGATCTCAGGAAGTGACCACACTGCTATTTTTAGAAGCCACATAGCCTGACCAGGTCAACGGGTATCTGGCAAAGCAGGTCTTGTGACTTCCCCTTTCATTTATTTCCCCTCTAATGGAGACAGTGATCTGCCCAAAGTACAGACATGACATCCAGAGGCTGTCATGCTAGGGACTCCAGCCCCTGCCCTCGCATCATGAAAGGAAGTGAAGGCAGGTGCTACGCTTATTTCCTGAGCCACCCTGAACACGGTGTTCAAGAAGGGATGCCCTGTGCTGAGTTGTGTTCCAAGGCAGTGTCCAGTGAATGCCTTGGAGATCCCAGTGTTAGCTGTTCACTAAACACATGGATTTTGGTGGGGGCAGTGAGACAGGATCTTGATACGTAGTTCAGACTGGTTTTGAACTCATAGAGATCTTCTTGCCTCAGCCTCCCAAGTTCTGCACCACCAGACCCAGGTGCAATCATGGATTTTATTTTATTATTTATTTATTTATTTTGTTCTTTTTTTATCGATACCTGGGATTGAACTTAGGACTGCACACTTGTAAGACAGGCGCTTATGCCACTGAGCTAAATCCTCAGCCCTTTTTTGTCTTTTTGAGACAGGGTCTCGTTATGCAGTTCAGGCTGGCCTTGAGGTCACTTTGTAGCCCAGGCTGGTCTCGAACTCCCAACGATCCTCCCACCTCAGCCTCCTGAGTGCTGAAGCAATCATGGATTTTAAATGGAATGTGTTTGTGATGTATCAGGAGCCTAATTTATGAGGTAGCTATACCTAAAAGGTTAATGGGAGTAAAAAGATTGAAGGGATTTAAGTGCCCCGCAGTGAAGCAGCAGGGATGGGCCTGAGAGTCACAAGGCGCAGGGCTCTGTGGACCAGGGGAGTTATCTGGAGAGAGTCAGGTCATCTTTGCGGTCTGGTCCCACCCACCGCCAGGGGCTGCGGTGGAATGAGGTGCTATTTCAGAGTAGTCATAGCAAACATAGGCTGTCAGCCCTCCAGGTAATCAGCCCTCTGGAACTTTGCTGAGCTGTGGTCTTTAGCAAGTTCTCAGGAACTTGGTAGGCAGCAGATAGTTTAAACTTCTCTCAGTGCTGTTTCTCTTCATGGCCTCCCTCCCACAAGCCTGTACAAGAATACTTTCTCTGGATTCAATTCCTCTAGTTCAGTGGCCCAGGGCTGAGTCCTGTTTCCCACTTCCTTAGGGTGAATAGGGCACTGTCTGTGTATTTATTTTTTATAGACTGTAATGGCTGTGGGTACAAATGGTTTCAATCCTTGAGGGTATATAGCTAATGTCAGGGCAATAGTTCTGGACAAACTCTAGGGGTTCTGGAAAATCCAGAAATGTCTCTAACCCCCTCCCAGTCAGAACTCTCCTCTGGATCTGTTAACCAAAGAAACCATAGGTGTATTGGTGAAGGGTGATTCAGGCTGAGATCTCATTTGACAGATAAAGAAAGTGAAGCCTAGTGAGGGGAAGTGACTGCAACCTGAGTCCCCCTCCAGTAATCTCAGTGGCCCAGGACGGTGCTCCAGTGAAGATTTAGTGGTAGTGGGCTATTTTTTTTTTGTATGTTTATGTTTTGAGACAGAGTCTCCATTGTGCAGTTCAGGTGGGCCTTGAGCTCACTATCCGGCCCAGGCCCACCATGAATTTGTGGCAATCCTTCTGCCACAGCCTCTTCAGTGCTAGGCTTACTGATGTGTGTCACCACACCTGAGGTCGTGGGGGGTATTTTGTCTGGAGTTGGGGAGAGTGTCCACCAAAACATCAGGCTCTCCCAAGGCCCCTGCAGAGGATGCGCCTGCAGGTTGCCTTCTCATTACTCTGTGTCCTACAGCATTAGCAGCTTCTCTGCCTGAAGATGATGCCCTGGCCTCAGTCAGGGTCCCTGCTCTCTAATTTTTCTGCTTCTGGCCCTGCCTTTGAATTTTCAGAGTGGAACTGCAAGGTGTGCTGTAGGGTCCCTGGCTTGGAAATCTTCTGAAAACTTTGTAAGTTCTTGGCGGGGGTCTCTAGCCTGCCAGGCCCAGCACTCACACATACATGTCCTTTGTCCCCCTGCAGTGCCTGGTGATTTGGGCAACCAGCTGGAAGCAAAGCTGGACAAGCCTACGGTTGTGCACTACCTTTGCTTCAAAAAGACTGACAGCTACTTCACCCTCTGGCTGAACCTCGAGCTTCTGCTGCCGGTCATCATTGACTGCTGGGTCGACAATATCAGGTGGGGGCCGGGCGACACAGGCGGTATCTCTCTCTGAAGGGGCTCAGTGGGGCTCCCAGAGTCTGTTCCCTTTTCATCTCTATTTCATAAGGTCAGTGACCCCGCACCCTCCCTCTCCAGACCCTCAGTCTGGTCTGGTCTGGTCTGGTTTGATTTGCAGCATCTCTGCACTGTCAGCAAAACTTTCTTCCTCTTCTTGCTGCTCTTGGCCCTGCTCCCCAGCTCAGCCTTTGGCCCTCAGGTCCTGCAGTTTCTGTGCCTTAGTCCCAGTCCACTTTCCCTTCTCCAGCTGGTTATGCTTTCTGGAGCATGTCATGTCTACATGTCTTTTCACACTGTTTTTCCCACTTGGAATCTACTTTTTTACATCTGTCTGTCTATCTATCTATCTATCTATCTATCTATCTATCTATGTTTTGGGGGGTTTTTTGAGACAAGGTCTCACTATGTAGCCCAGGCTGACCTTGAACTTGCAAGACCTTCTTGCCTCAGCCTCCTAAACACTTGGATAGCAGGTGTTGCACCACCATGTGTGCCAGCATGCATGTCTTTTTTTTAACTCTTGCTGAATGTCAAACTTTGCTTATATGGATGGTTCTATCAAATTAAATATAGGCACCGTGTATTTTATAGTCATGGGCTAACCAGCAATATTTTAGTCAACAGTGGACTACATGCATGATGGTGGCTCTGTAAGTTTCTAATGGGAAAACAGGTATGGTGGGAAGCTGAGGCAGAAGGATCACAAGTTTGAGCCCAACCTGGGTAAATTAGGAACTAAGTGAGGGCCTGTCTCAAAATAAAATTTAAACAATATAAAGAAGGACTGGGGGTAGAGCTCAGTGTGAAGGCTCTGAGTTCAATCCCTAGTATCATAAAAGACAAGTGTAAAAGATTATTTTGGTGCTGAAAAGCTGCAGGGACAGTGTCATACCTATCTAACCTAGTAGTGAAATACGTTTGTATGATGCTGGTGTAAATAACAAATGTACTTGATGACAAGATAACGTAAATGATTACATTACTGATGTATGTATTTATTACACTTTCCAGTGTTGTGTAGTAACACTAAAAAGAGGGTTCCCATAAAACAGTATGTTACACCAGCAGCCGCCTCACACGGCTTGTGTTCACTATGTCTCATGATTGCCTCAAGAGACCACATCCAGGGATTGACCTGAAGTACACACAATGAGTTCACCAAGTGGCACATTTTACAGAAGTATTCCCCTCAAGTGACTCATGACTACTTTCTTTCATTTTGTCTTCCAAGTCTGATGATGCGCGGTGCCATAAAGCCTGTCTTACAGAGGTGTAGCTTAGTGGTGAAATGCTACCCTGGCATACCTGGAACCCTAAGTTTGATCCCTGGCACTTCAAAAGAGACTAAGCACTTCAAAATAACTATAACTAAGGAAATCAGGAAGCTCGAAGAACTTACAAATTGCTTACAGCCATTCAGCAAAGTGGTGAAATCAGAATTCAGACCTAGCATTGTATAGCTGTCCATCCCACGCTGAGTTCTCTAAAAGCAGACTTTGTTTTATCTGTTTTACCTTTGTATCAAGAGAACAGGAAAGGCTGAGGGTTAGCTCAGCAGGAGAAGCGCCTGTCTGGCGAGCATAAGGTCACGAGTTAGATTCCTGAGGTCACAAGTTGTATTCCTGGTACTAAGAAAAAGAACAACAACAAAAAAACTACCAGAAAACAGGGAACACACTTGGTATGTAACAATACAGTGTATGTTTGAGATAACTCGAGCTTCTTCAATTAAATTTGTTTTCTTTTTAAAAAAAATTTATATTTTATTAAATTTATTGGTACATTTTTAGGTGTATATATATTGATCACATTCATCATAATTTGTACCTGAACATGATATAACTCAATTCCTTTTTTCTCCATTCCTCTACCCTCTTTTAACCCCTCTTTTCTTCCCCATTTACAAAAATTTTGTTTCTATTTTTTCTTTCTTTTCTCATTTTTCTTCTTTTTCTTTTCTTCCTTTGCCCTCCCCTGTCTCTAGTTCCTCTTCCCATTTGAACATTTTTTTCTTGTTTCACAATATCTTTTATACATTTTGATCCTTATTTACACTTTTGGTTTCTTACTGAAAGGAAACCATTTTTTTTTCCCCTACACCAAGGATTGAACTCATGACCTGACTCATGACCTGGTGCTTGCCAGACAGGTGCTTACGCTGCTGAGCTAAATCCTTGGCCCACCAATATGGTATTTACACATATGTGATCCAAGGTGCATCCGTTTAGCTAGAAGTGTTTCAAGCTTATTGCTTGTGGCAGAGTAGTATTCCACTGTATATTTTTTTAAAACTCCACATCTTCTTTATTTATCAATTGATGGGCATTTGGGCTGTTTTCAAGAGTTAGGTATTACAGACTATGCCACTATAAGCATGAATATGCATATATTGCTGTGATGATGCTTTTAATTCTTTTGGGAAGATACCAAGAAGGGGAAGAGCTGGGTCAAGTGCAACCACTGCTTTTAGTTTTTTGAAGAATCTCCACACTGATTTCTACAACGGTTGCGCCCTTCTGTACTCCCATCCACAACGGAGAAGGTTTCCTTTTTCCCTAAAACCCCACTAGTATTTGCTATTGAAGGACTTACTAGCCATTCTTTCTGGAGTCAGATGGGATTTCAGAATTGTTTTAATTTGCCTCTCTTGAATGACCAGTGATGTCAAACATTTTTTCATATATTTATTCACTGTTTGTACTTCTTCATTTGAGAAGTGTCTATTCATTTCCAATGTTCATTTTTTGATTGGGTCTTTCAATTTAGGGGACCTGATTTTTTTTTTTTAACTCTTTATACATTCTAGATAGTAGTCTTTGTTTGAGGAACAGCTGACAAAAATTTTTTCCTACGTTATGTGTTGTCTCTTCACTGTTGGTGGTTTTTCTTGCTGTGCAAAAGCTCTGTAATAAGATGAGATCCCAGTTGTTGAATCTTTGTGGTAGTTCCTGTGCAATTGGAGTTTTGGTCATAGTCTGGCTACACCAGTGTCTTCAAGACTCCTACCTATTCTGTCTTCCAGCAGATTATTTCCACTTTATATTTAGATATTTTTTATTTTTGGTACCAGGAATTGAATTCAGGATCTGTGCTTGCCAGGCAGACGCTGTGCTCTTGGACTATATCCTCAGCCAGTATTTATTTATTTATTTATTTATTTTTTTGATTTTTTTTTTTCCAGCCAGTATTTAGATCCTTGATCTATTTTTTTTTTTTCTTTTTGTGGTGCTGGGAATCGAATCCAGGCTCTTGTGTATGCAAGGCAAGAGCTGTATTACTGAACCGCAAACCCTGCCTGCCCCTGATCCATTTTTATTTTAGTTCAGTGTGTGGTGAAAGATATGGTCTAGTTTTAATCTTTAACATGGGGAAAGCCAATTTTTTCTAGCACCATTTATTTTGTTTTCTAGAACTATTTATTAAACAGGCTATATTTCCTCCAGTGAAGGTGTTTGGCACTTTTCTTAAAAATAAGGTGGTTGAGTATTTGGAGTTGTTTTTGTGTCTTTTAATCTGTTCCATTGATCCTTAGGTCTGTTGTTGTTTTTTTTTTTTCTATTGGTGGTACTGGGGATCAAACTCATGGCCTTGTGTTTTCCAGGCAGGCATTTATGCCACTGAGCTAAATCCCCAGCCCTTCCTTAGGTCTGTTTTATTGCCAGTACCATACTGGTTTGTTTGTTTGTTTTTGGGGGGGTACCAGGGATCGAACTCATGATCTTGTGCTTCACAGGCAGGCACTTAGGTGGCTGAGCTAAATCCCCAGCCCCCAGCCGTACTGGTTGTTTTTCTTTTTGTCTTTTTCCTTTTTATCGGTACTGGGGATCAAACTCACAACTGCCTGCTTGCAAGGCAGGCACTTATGCCGCTGAGCTAAATCCCCAGCCCCTCGTACTGTTTTTATCACAATAGCTTTGTAGTATAATTTCAAGCCAGGGATTGTGAAGCCCCCTGCCTTACGTTTGTTGCTCAGAATTGCTTTTGCTATTCTAGGTTGCTTCTGTTTCAAAATAAATTTTGGAATTGTTTTCTCTAATTCTATGAGGTGTGCTGTTGGAAGTATGGCCATTTTCACTTTATTGGTTCTTCCTACCCAAGAGCTGAGGAGTGTTTTTCCTCTTTCTTTCTTTCTTTCTTTCGTTCGTTCGTTGTTGTTGTTGTTGTTTGAAAACGGGGTCTCAGTATGTAGTGTAGGCTCGCCCTGAAGGAACTCATGATGGTTTTCCTGTCTCTGAGAAAAAGCTGAGTGCTGGAATTACAGGTGTGTGCCACTCTACACGGCTCCAGTTTTTTTTTCTGACTCCCATTTTTTGATATACTCTTAAACCTCCTTTTTCAGAGTTTTTTTTTTTTTTTTTTTTAAGTGTAGAAGTGTTTGACTTCTTACATTAGGTTAATTCCTAGGTACTTGAGTTTTTTGGAGCTCTTGTAAAGGGTGTTTCCCTAATTTCTCTCTCAGTGAGTTTGTTATTTGTGTACAGGATTGCTATTGATTTTTTGAGTATTAATTTTATACCCAGCTATGCTACTGAATTTGGTTATTAAATAAATCTAGAAGTACTTTGGTGCAGTTTTTAGGGTCTTCTAAGTAGAGTATCATGTCATCTGTAAGCAATGACAGCTTCCTTAACTTCTCCCTTATTCCTCTTGTCTAATTGCTCTGGCTAATGTTTCCTGAACTATATTGAAAAAGAGTGGTGATAGTGGACATTCTTGTATTCCTGACTTTAGAGTGAAAGCTTTCTGGTTTTGTCCATTTAGTATGATGTTGGCTGTTGGTCTGTCATAGATGGCTTTTATCAGATTGAGGTAGACCATCTATTTTAGTTTTCTGTAGGGTTTTTATCATGAATGGGTGCTGGACTTTGTCAAATGCTTTTTCTGCATCTATTGAGATCATATGGTTTCTGTCCGTGGCTCTGTTAATATGGCGTGTTATAGGATGAATCCCAGTTGGTCATGGTGTATAATCTTCTTGACAGTTTGTTGCATTCTGTTTGCCACTATCTTACTGAGGATTTGTGCATCTGTTTTCATTAAGGAGATTGCCCTGTGGTTCTTTCTTTGTTGAGTCTTCCTCTGGTTTAGTATTAGGGTAATGTTTGCTTCCAGAAGTAAATTTGGGAGTATTGCTTCCCTTTCAACTTCATTAAAGGGCTCGGGGGTTAGCTCAGTACACAAGCGCCTTGCCTGGCAAGCATGAGGGCCTGAGTTCGATTCCCTGTGCCAAAAAAAAAGTATCAACTTCATTAAAAAGGTTAGGAAGTAGCAGTGTAAGGTTTATAAATTTCTTGTAAATTGTTTTCTTTTTGTTTGTTTGTTTTGTTTTTTTGAGACAGGGTCTCTCTATGTATTTGAAGCTGGCTTGAAACTCACTATGTAGCCCAGGCTGACCTGGAGCTCCTGGTGATCCTCTTGCTTTAACCTTATGAGTGCTGAGATAACAGGTGTATGTACACCACCATGCCCGGCTTTAAAAGTTTTGCCAGAGACCTTGTGTTCTTGACGAACTGTGTCCTTCCCTGTTATTTGTGTTGCCTGTTTCATTGACTCTTTCTTCCTCAGTGTGTGATCAAGTTATTTCTGGGTTGTTGACCTGCATTTCTAATTTTGTGCTGGAGACATGGCCTCAGGTACTGCCAGTTTGAGGCGAGGGCTGATACAGAGAAGGGCTTGTCAGCTTTCAGTGGTCCTTTGGCCTATTTAGATTTTATGTCTTCCCACCCTCTCTTCCTTCTGTCCTTCCCTCTCTTGACTCTGTCTTTCCCTCTCTCTCCCTCCCTGTCTCTTCCTCTCCCCCTCTCTTCTTTCCCTCCCTATCTTTTTCCTCCATTTTTTCCTTTCTTTCCGTTATTTTCCCTCCCTCTTGCCCCTTCTCACTCCTTCTCTGCTGGGGATTGAACCCAGGACCTTGCACATGCCAGGCGTGTATTATACACTGAGTGCATCCCTGACTTCATTCATTCATTGTGGTACTGGGGATGGAAGCCAAGATGTTTGCACTGAGCTATATCCTGGCCTTTTAAAATTTTATTTTGTTTTTTAGTTTGAGAAGATCTTACTGAATTGCCTAGGTGGAGCTCAACCGTGTGATCTTTCTGCGTCAGCCTCCCAGAGTGCTGGGATTACAGGCATTCACCACTGCTCCTGGCTCATTGTATTTATTTTGAGATAGATTCTCTTTTTTTAAAATCTTAACTATTTTTATATACACATATACATATACATATACATATACATATACATATACATATACATATACATGTGTTGTTTGGTTTTGTTTTTTTGTTTTTTTTTTACTTCGAGGCTGGCCTTGAACTCACAGCAATCCTCCTAAGTGCTGGGATTGCAGGTGTGTGCCACCAGGCCTGGCAACTGAGTCTCAATGAATTGTTCAGGCTGACTTCAAATTTGCGATCCTCCTTTAAATTCTCATCTAGCACAGAGTTGCTTTGGCCTTCCAGAGCAGTTTTCTATACTTTTCTGGGTGGTCATCAGGATACATTATTTGGGTCATTGCTAGGAATCTAGTTATGTTTGTATGGGTGATCTTTAGAGGGGAAGAAAGACTCAAGGCCACCATGAACTTTGGGTGTTTTTCGGCATGTTTGCCCCTTTGGTGTCAGATAAAGACAGAGCAAGGTTTCTATCCTAGAAGCAGGTCTCCTCCTATGGGTCCCCATAATTTTTTTTTTTTTTTTTGTCTTTTTGTCTTTTTGAGTCAGGGTCTCTCTATGTAGTTCAGGCTGGCCTTGAGCTCACTTTGTAGCCCAGGCTGGTCTTGAACTCGAAACAATCCTCCTGCCTCAGCCTCCCGAGTGTTGGGATTACAGGCATGAGCCACCACACCTGGCTGTGGTCCCCATAATTTCTCCAAGGCTTTTTTCCCTTCATCTGAGATGGAAGGGTAGAGCAGCCATACAGGGATCGAACTCACGACTGCCTGCTTGCAAGGCAGGTGCTTATGCCGCTGAGCTAAATCCCCAGCCCCCATCTGTTTCTGTTTTGCAGTGCAGCAACAGAAACTGTGAGATAACATATGTAGTGTTAGAAGCTGCAAAATTCATGATAATTTGTTACACAATAGGAAATTAACAAAAGGCTATTTGGGGTCCCAAGTAGCTGGCATTCTATGTGTCATAGGTTTTAGGAACTTGCAAACTAAATTCTGGATCTGGAAGTCTGTTATCGCCCTGATACTGAAAAGATCATGTGTGATTCATTCCCTTTCTCCATGGATCCAAAGGAGGAGGCTGATTGCTGAGTCCAGTGCCAAGGGCAAGTCAGAGCCAGCTGTGGCCGCCTGGGTCTGCACGAGGCCTTTCCCGTCTCCCCGGCCTCTTTTATTCCTCTGTGCCCCATGCGCTTAGCCACACAGCA